TCAGGGTCAGCAGTGGGTGGTTTCTCGTTTTCAGCCATCCGAGCTGCCTCAGGAGACTCCTGTGCAGGAGGCTGGGGTGGCAATGAAGGAGGGCCCTCACCCAAAGCACAAGGYGCWGCAGGAAACCCTTGAGGTAGGAGAGCCGCCCAGGCCGCCTCTCTCCCGCTCCCACACAGCGCGGCTGCTGCTCACGCAGGGCCGGCACAGGCCTCACCCCGGGGCCTGGGGCAGAGCGGCGCTGGGCGGCAGGCGGCAAYGCCGGCCATGGCCCTGCTCCCCGCAGCCTCTTGCTYCAGCCACRCTCAGCCCRGGGCTCTGTCTCTCTCCTTGCTCCAGGCCCTGGGACAAATGCTGCTCCAGGACCAGCAGCTGCTGCAGAAGATGGAGCAGCAGTGTGAGGAGGCCGAAAGGCAGCTGGTAAAGACCAACAATTCCCCACCATGTTTGGCAGTTGGCCATCCACCAAGCTCCTGGTGCTTCCTTTCCTCTCTTGTCCTTGCTCTTCCTATGGAATCCTCACTCACCATCTCATTCCTCTGCCCTGGCAGCAAAAGGAAAAGGCYGAGCTCTTCTTCGTGCCGTGCGAGGAGGAGGAGGTCATGCCCAGTGCGCCTGGCCCCACCRAGCCCGAGGGCCGCCGCAGCTGGAGGACAGAGCTGAGCAGACGGTGAGAGCAGARCTGCTCTGCACGGGCGCTGTGCAGCTCTYGTGGCACCAGGGCTGTCCTGTCCCGTGGCAGCGAGGCCTGAGGAAGATGTSCCRCTGTTTGCAGTGCAGAGCACTGGGGGAGYGCAGGGAGGTGGGTGCATGAGCAGAGAGCTCATCCTTCTGCCCTCTGAGCTCTTCTCCTCTCCTCCTCTCTCACAGCCTGCAGGACAAGTGGCAACGCCTGCGTCTGGCGGCCAGGAGGAGGTTTCCTGCCAGGCGGCAGGAACCAAACAACTAAATTCATTTGTGTCAGGAAGGGTCAGTAGGTGGGATGGAYGGCACGCTCACACCGGCAGCACGTTCAACACCAAGATGTGGAGCAAATGCACAGCCTTTCCCAGAGCTGCCAATGGGGCAGATCTCCCAGCTGAGCAAAACTCGTCTCCAGCTTTGCTGCCAGTCTGTAGAAGGTGACTGGTGCCACCTTGGTGTAAGGGTGKCCATAGGCCTCAGGAATCACCCACTGGCCACTCTCGCCAGCCCACTGGATGTTGCACTGAGGAACCCCCTGAGYGATGAATAAAGAAATGAAGCTTACCAGCCAACCAAGGGCTTTGTGTCTCCATGTTTGTGTGTTCTTTAACCAACAGTCCCTGCCAATGCACACGCACACACTCTGAAAGGGACCCTAGTGACAGCAAAGTGCAGAAGTCTCATGATGATTTATTTGTAACTGTAAACTCCTCGGTGTGCCACAGGGCTCAGCATATTGCAGTTCCTCTGTGGCACTGGTGGTCCATCCAAGTCCTCTGCTGTCACTCCATCTTGCTCTTCCATACAAGTAGAGACCTGTGTAGCACACAGAAGGGGCTCTCCAAAGCAACTCACTTTCACCTTTGCCTCACCCTAGTTCTTGTAGGAAGCACAACACCTGATCCCAGTGAGCTCCTTCCTGTCACACCTGCAGGCCTCCCACCATCCGTGACRTCTTTCYGACTTCTTGCAAGTCAGAAAGCTTCTGCGGAGCAGCAGCATACATGGCATCCCCTCCTGCAGTAGGAAAGCCCTTTGTAGTTTGAGAAGGGGCTCCAAAAGCTGCAGGGGGCTTCCTTCCTGTCAGTTGAAAGCGTGAGGGAGGGAAGGCAAGAGGGAAACGGACAAAATGGAGGATCCAGGAAACTTTACAGTAAGGATGAGGAAGCACTTAAGTACAGGTTAGTCTGCCTCAYCTCCATCCCTGGAAAGGTGGTGCAATAACTCAGCCTAGATATCACCTCTAAGCAAGTGGAGGACGAGAAAGTGATTGGGAGCCATCAGCATGGATTGACCAAGGGGAAATCTTGCTTAACCCACGTGGAAGCCTTCTATGCAGAATGACTRGCTGGCAGAYGAAGGGAGACCACAGGATGTGGTCTACGCTGACATCAGCAAGGCTTTCAATGCTGTCTCCCATGGCATACTCCTCGACAGGCTCAGCAAGGATGGGTGGCATGAACAGACAGAGATGGATTGAGAAGGGGCTGAACGACACCRCTCCAAGGGCTGTGACCAGTGCTGCAGGGTCCAGTTGGAAGCCTGGAGCTAGTGGTGTCACCCTGGGGTCACTGCCGGGTCCAGTCACGTTCACCTTACGCACCAAGGGCCTGGCTGAAGCTCAGAGTGCACCCTGAGCCCACCTGCTGCTGACACAAACCCGGGAGAGGCGGCGGCTACGCCACAGGGCTGAGCTGCCGTCCAGGGGCACCCGGACAGGGTGGACACCTGGGTGGAGAGGAGCCTCCAACAAAGGCCAGTGCAGGCCCCTGCACGCTGCTCAGCCGTGGTGACCGCATCCGCCTGTGCAAACACCTGAATTACGGGAGGCTCCATAGCCCCGCTCCCACACGAGCCCCGCGCCTCCCTGTTCCCTGCCCTGAGCAGGGACGTGCCCCCCCCCCGCGCAGCCGGCCCGCTCGCCCCGCCCCCGCCGTTACGTCACGCAGAGCCGCGGGGTCCTGCGCCTCGGTTCTGGCTGTCTGCTCGCTCCGCAGCCTGCGGAGTGACCTCTGCGAACGCCTTGCTGGAAACTGTACTCCCCACCCACCAAGGCGCTTCTTCTTCACCTCAGCCTCCACTCTCCCAACATTACAACAAAAAACGTCCTCTCTAGGCTCCTCAGCCTTGGGTAGGGCTCGTCCTCGCTTCCCCCGTTTCTCCGGCGGGGCGCGGACAGCCCTCCCGGCGGGCGCGGCGCGGAGGCCCCTGCGCGCGGTGCGGGCGCTGACGTGTCGGCGGGAGCGGCGGGACCATGTGAGTGTGCGGGGCCCGCGGCGCCCCCCCCTCCCCCGCCCGCCGGCCCCGCCGCGGCCCCGCTCACCCCGCGCTCTCCCCCGCAGGTCGAAGGTGACCTTCAAGGTGACGCTCACCTCGGACCCGCGGCTGCCCTACAAAGTGTGAGTGCGGCGGGGCCCGGGCGCGCCGCCGGCCTGCCCTCCCGAGAGCCAGCAAAGCGTTGCGGGCCCCGTGACGCGACGCGACGCGCGGTGCTCCGGGTGTTGCGGGTTGTTTGTCCCGTGTTCTGTAACTTATCTGTGCTCACTGGAAATAAAAATGATGTTTTCTTTCAGGCTGAGCGTGCCAGAGAGCACCCCTTTCACAGCGGTTTTGAAGTTCGCCGCGGAAGAAGTAAGTAGAGAACGGCGGGTTCTTAAAACTGTTTCCATATTCCCCAAAGCCGAGGCTTTTTACGTGAAAAGCACAGCGGTTAATTTAGCGGGAGGTGTGCTGCTGTGCTGTTACCCCATGTCTGTGGCCATGGACGTTACTGCTGCCAGCGTGGAGCTGCCAGATCAAAGACCTGATGTTACAGGCAGGTRACAGTGGTATGGCTCTCTGTGAAGTGCAGTTATTAAGGGGCTATTAAATAACCACATTTAGCAAAGCGTCCCTTTAGTTTACACGAGGATTTTGAGTGCCCTTGGGACCTCAGAGAACTGTGGTTTTCCCATCTTTATAGAGGAATTCTAGATGACTTTTGGATGCTTGAAAGAAAAATATATATAAAGAAAGAAATATTTCAAATATATTTCAAAGAACTACAAAATTGATTTTTTTCATATTATAGCGCAGGTTTTAATTGTTGCTTTGCTGCTGTGTTACTGAGTCTTTTACATTTCTATGAGGCAAGGAAGGAAAAAATGCTTTGTAACTAGAAAGGGGAAAAACCTTTCTTGGCTTCATTCTTGGGAATGTTTGTGATTTTTTAACTCAAGGCCTGTTCCTGAGTGTTTAGAGTTCTTGGGGGGGAAAGCGGGACTTAATTTGGGGAACAGCTAAGGCTGTTAAGCTTTAGCACATTTCCTGACTTACATATTTGAATGTGATAGTTTGTATAATGTGTATTTAACACTTTGAATTCCTTTTTTTTTCCTCCATGTATGTCTTATAGACCATATATAAAAACATGTACATGTAGGGAATTGTTAAGCTTGTATCTATTTGCAAGTTTTTAGGGAACTGTTCAGTTTGTATCTATTTGTAAGTTTCTTCCCAATTGTCACAATAAATTGTGTCAATGTTAACGTTTTCACCTAGAATTTGTGGTGCCCATTGATATTTTTATTATTTACCTTTCAAAGTGTTTGTGTTTTTGTTTTTGGTGCATATTCCTTGAGTAGTGTATTTGCACAGTGTTTAATTTCACAAGTGGAAGAGAGGCCAAACGTGTCGTTATTTTCCAGTAAATAAAGTTACATCTCATTGCTTCATAAGTWTAAATATTTTAAAAAGTATTCTTTGCTCTAATATTGTTGTCGATTGGTTCTAAAATAGTTTATTTTGATACTTACCTGCTTTTATTGCTCCAAAAGGAGGTGGATTTATTACTCTTAAGAGATGGTCATTTTTCTCTTTAAAAGAGAAAGAAAGGGATGTAATTTTGTTGTAAGGTTATCCACTTATACCYTGGTCAGTAACAACAATGAAATTACTTCCTAATTTCATTAGGAAAGTTATGCAACTTTTTTTTTTTTGCAACAAAAGTTAYGCAACAGCCTAGGTTATGATTCGTAAGCTATATTGAAAGTTTTGCAAGTTTGGGGTAGGGGTGGGGTTGGGTACTTTGTTACCCTTTCTGGTTTCAGAGCCAGGGATTATAAGGTGAATATGGTATTTCTTTGACCCTTGAGCATCTGTTTAAGTTCACTCATAAAAATCTTGTGTGTTTTCAGAACTGGAAAGGTAGGCTTAGCAAGTATAGGATGGGTAAAATACTTAAATCATGTTGCACCCAAATCACATGTGATTATTTCCAGTGATAGCTTCCATTTGTATATTGCCCTTGTGATCTTTCTGACTGGAGTGAATACTTAGCCAACAATTGAACATACTAAACATTTTGCTGTTTAGCCCAGAGCTTTAAACTGTTTCATCCTCTCCTAACAATATCATATGAAACAATAGCTCTGTCTTACCTACTGGATTTCTTACTGTTTTCCTGGATCCTGTACCACATGCTCTAGGTGATCCTGTGTGTGCRGTGGGGTTGGACTAGATGATCTCTAAAGATCCCTTCCAACCTTAAGGATTCCATGACTGCTACACAGTTCTTGTGTGCGCATAGGGTGGCTGCATCAGGTATGTTCTGCTCCTGAAGAGTGACAGTCCTTTTTGTGGATTGTCATATGTCAAAAGAGATGGAAAAGAAATGAAGAGAGGCACTCAGTATACTAGAACTTACTTTTTTTAATTAGGTGATGTAGGATGAAAGATTAAGTAGAATCACCTATTTGTATGAGAAGCCTATTTGTTGAAAAATAAGTATTAAATTAACTGTATGTTTGCTAGCTCATTTCATGTTTTTTGTGTTTTATTCCTTTGATGCTTGAGCTGGGGTTGAACTCTTTCCAGGAAACAGGATTTAATATGATTGACAATAAAAATACGTCAATGTTCAAATCTTACAAAGTTATTTTGTCGTATTATATAAGAAAATCTGTTTAAAAAACTGTTAACATTGTGATGGGAGACCACACAGCACAAATGTTTTCCAGTATGCTAAGAATTAAGTACTGCRTTCAAGTTAACTGTGGGCTTTAGGTGTTGTAGTTGCAATGAGTTTCTGCAGATCAGAGCTCAAAATCTTGAGCTGAGCTGTCAGATAGTGTGGAAGACAGTTAATGACTGTAATTGAACAGATTACTTAAGTGCCAAGCAGATGGAAGAGCTCTGCACATATTCCTGGGAAGTGTTTAGTAATTCTGTGACTAACTCTTTCTTTATGCAACATAAAGAGAATAGTGTATAGACACTTGCAGTTGGAGAGGTCAAAAGAGAGCTRAGGATAAATATGGGAAATTGGTTCAAGCCAGTTCTACTTCAGCTCCCCTCTGTTCACAAGCAGGGCAACAGGAAGTTCTCTTTGTGGTGATCCTTGTGGTGGCAATAGATGCTAAGTGTCCCCAGAACTTATTTTGTATGAATAAAGTTATTTTGTTGATGYAGATTCTGTTTCCACATCAAATAGTTTTTTTCTCTCCAACATGTAATGTCTTTGCACAAACTTTTGGTCTTCAAATGCTTATAACTGTCAAGAGCACTCAAGTGTCAAGTCTACACATATGAGTATATGCATGTGTTACAGATGTAAGATTTTATGTTGATTAGTTTTATTCTAGGAGGTTTTTGGCATCTATTTTCTCTAAATATTACTTGTTCACAGTGTCTGACATTACAGCTGTGCTTTCCAGAAGTTCATTTCTGTTTTCCCAGTTCCTCCTTCATATATGGTAAAATCAAAGCCAATACTTTTTTAACTTTGGGGGACTTTATGTAATGAATAAAAATAATAAGACTCTTTTTTTCCAAACCAGATAAAGCTATAATTAGTTTGAATATTCCCCATGTATTTTCAATTTTAATTATCCGTCTCTTATGTTACTTTGTCCTACTCTTATTTCCTTTAGTTCAAAGTTCCCGCAGCAACAAGTGCCATTATAACAAATGGTAAGATTATAATTTTGTAGTTTCTGTTAAGAGATATTGATAAAAAACAATGTCATTTCTTCCATAAAGTGTACAGACTGCAAACTTAACTTARTAATGTTGAACCACTATTTATATGGCTTGTGGAAGAGATTAAACAACTTATTAATTTCAGTGGATTTGTCCTAGCATATAACTCGAGCTTTCTATGCTGAAATTTTCTTGTCAGCACTTTAATGAGACTGGTTTTCATTATAAGAAATAGATGCTCAAAGGACTGATGTAAGAGCTATGTAGATTATTGTTTATCATGTTATGTTTTTGTGCTGTCAGTTTARTATAAAAACTGTCTCGCTACTTATTTTTCATTCTCTTCCTTCCCCTCTCATTACCAATTAAAAACATTAATTCTTTTCTAGATGGAATAGGAATAAACCCTGCACAGACAGCAGGTAAGTTGTTGTTTATGGAGATCAATATTAAAAGGTTAATTGTCTTTTGTTAAAGTTAATTCATGACAGTCTAGTGTGTCGTATTATTTTATCAGAACTCATCAGAGAATCAGAACTCATTCTCAAATGAGGTCAGCCTCACCTCCATCCCTGGAAAGGTGAAGGAGTAGTTCATCCTGGAGAAGAGTTCATGTGTGTAGCTCTATTGTTCTTATCAAGAAGTCTCTAGATGAGTAACCAGTGACTTCGAGGTGGAGGCCTGCCATGACTCAAGAGGTTGCTTCTGCCACAGGGACGTGTAAAACCCTTGTCCATAATCTTCTGGATTGTTTGGATACATAGTACCAATTTTAAATGACACTAGTAGTAGTTGGGAGTCCAGAAACAGTTGTCTGTTGACTGGACTKGTTTTTCAAAAGTTGCTTTAAATTCATTTGAAATTATCTAGTCTAATCATGAGCCATTAGAGACATGAATTATGGTGGGACGGGATATGGGAAAAAATGGTAATAACTTTTACTGGTACATAATAAAAAAAATGGCTGTAGTGTTTCTTGAGTACATTCATCCAGTGAAAACTAAATAATCCTGCTTTAAATATGATTAACAATTAATGGAGACTCATTCCACTTCTCTGTTGTTTGGATGGAGTCTCTGCCACATCTCATTTCTTTGTGCCCTGTGTGTCTGCCAGATGATATCTATCTTTTTGAATCTAAAGAGAAAATGAGATATTATCAGTTACTTGGCAATGTAAGATAAATAAAGTAAGACCCTCAAGAGAAGATTGAAGGGGGAATATAAGAAGAGCAGCTACAGACTCTTAGAWGTAGAAGGTACCCTTGCCTGGCAACATTGTGTGGTGTTGCACATAAAGAGGAGAGTCAAGGGAACAAACAAACCCAGGACTTCTTACAGGAGGAGTATATTTGTCCTTAGATTACCAATACCCATGATAATTTTGATATATCATCATATTCAGCCATATTGCTACCTCAGAAACTTGATCAGAATCTTTTAAATTTTCATTTGAAAGACTCCCTTTGTATTTTAAAGTTCCTGTAGACTGAGCAGTCACTTTTAGTTTTCAAAAACTTTCCAAAATGATACCATTATAGGAATAGAATCTTAGTAATTCCTGTAGATTTCAGAGTTTTTTGCTGTTCCGTTATTTCTTTACTCTTCTGAGCAAAAGTAATACCTCACTCCTCAATTTCATTCTTTGTGCATGATTCTGCAAAACAGGAGAAATGAAAGCTGAGAAAGCAAGGCTTGGCACTTAATTCCTGTATTGATCTCAGTCTGAAAGCTTCTGTAGTTCAGGGAGTAGTATGCCATAACTTTAATAAAACCATGGTGATATTAATGATGGAAAGAGAGGTCARCTGTTGCCTGTGAAAGATTGTTGTCTGTGTTCTGTTCTGAAATTTTAGAATTTTATGTAAACATTATAACACAGATACTTTTCATTTAGATTAGTAAGCTTAGTTCTTTGATTTGTCAGAGTTAGATTTTATGAAGAATTTATGTTCAATCCTTACTGAGTTTGAACAATCCCTTTGGTATGTAGTCCTGGGAGACCTCTTAAAAAAAAGAATGCTTTGTGATGATACGAGTTTTGAATGCATTTACTAATCCTCCTTATATTTAATACGTGGAATAGTGTTGACCCTGATCCATGTGCCAGAAATGTGAAGTTTGAAGATAAAAAAAAAAAAAAAAAAGTGGAGTTTTTTCCACTGTATTAATAAATAGAAAAAAAAATGTTAAATATCTTAATCTTTTGTTATGAAAGCACTATGTATCCATTAAATGGGATGCTTGGGAAAGAAATATGATGGTTCTATTCTTAAAAGATGACCTGCAGATGAATGAGTATAGATAGATATTATTAAAACTCAGTATTTTAGAAGTCCAAATAGTGTGATTTATGTAATAACATTGTTACTATATTAATGTATGAAGTAAATTTTAAAAACTCTAACTCCGTACACTAATTAAAGAATGCATCACATTTTTAACAGTGTGGCTTTGTTTTCAAATGTTATTCATTAAATAGGAAAAAATAGCTTTTAAATAGAATCCCAAATAAATGTGCAAAATATTCTAGAGCYGTAGATTTATTTATATCTTTCCCTGCTTGAAATAGCTATCGTGGTTAAGACTATGCAGTAACAAATAGGAATGAAGTCCAATTATTTTGCATGCCGAAGTAAGACTGGCTTATTTGAGCAACAGCAGGRCCCTTCTAAAGGACGGGTAGAGCTGAGGTTCTGGAGTTAGAAGCAGATGACAGTTGAACCATAGAGAGAATTAAGATGAATATGTCTTGAAATTGTTGTAACATGTAAGCAAAAAGGTATGTTTAGAACTACAAAGCTTGAAAGACCAAAGCTTAAAAATTTATGATATAAAACTCTGAGTCTGGTATTATTACMGAATCACAGACTGGTTGAGATTGGAAGGGACCTCTAGAGATCATCTAGTCCAACCCCCTGCTCCAGCAGGGACACCCAGAGCACGGGGCACAGGGCGGCAKCCAGGCGGGTKTGGGAGATCTCCAGAGAAGGAGACTCCACAGCCTCCCTGGGCAGCCTGTGCCAGGGCTCTGGCACCCTCACRRAGAAGATGGAACTTCCTGTGTTTTTAATTTGTACCCATTACCGCTTGTGCTGTCACTGACCACCACCAAGAGGAGTTTGGTCCCATCCTCCCTACGTTCTCCCATTAGGTACTTAYACATATTGATCAGATCCCTTCTCAACCTTGTCTTCTCCAGGGGAAACAGGCCTAGCTCACATAGTCTATCCTCATACAATAGATGGCCCAGTCCCTTAATCATCTTCGTTGCTCGAGGGTTTTTACTTACATTTGCATTTGATACTTCTCTCCAGAGAATTCAAGAAGGGTTCTTTGGAGTATCCAGATGTAGGGGAAGAAGGTAATATTCTGTGGGAACCCAAACTCATTTCTGACATATTGGAGAAATTACGGCAAAGATGTTGAACACTCCCCTCGTTTTTATCATTGTCCTTTATTATGTATATGCCTTTTCAGATAAATTTTCCTGAAGGACTTTTATTTGATACATATGTATTCTAACTTGGGTGTGATCAACTTTATTTTGTTTGTTTGTTTGTTTAGGAAATGTGTTTCTAAAACATGGTTCAGATCTGCGGCTTATTCCCAGAGATCGAGTGGGGAGTTCCTAACGACTGCTGAAAGCTTTGGAACAAGTGACGTTGCCATGCAGCCAAGTTGTATTTATTTTGGAACTCAGCTAATGGATTGGCCATCTTTAAAGTGATCAAAAATAACACCCCATAATTTGATCTTCTTTCTAAGAGATAAGGTATCACTCTCATATATAAAATACATTAAATCAAACATTCATTCTTCTTTGACAAGAAGAAGAACCGACTTGTTCTGTGTTATCTTCCTGAATGAAAGATGGACCACTCTAAAAGTGTTACTGAAATCAGAAGGGCAAGCCCACAACTGCATGAAGAGATCTAAAATAATTTTTATTTTGAGCCCACTCAGTAGAAAGCAGAGATTATTATGATTTTGCTATAATGAAATTGTTCTTTACTGAGTGCTAAACATTTTTTWATTAAACTATTATATGTACTCCCACATTCAAAAGAACATTTTGTCCCAAATATTTAGCTCAAATAGAAGAGATATTTCAGGGATTTATTGCAGAATAAAGTAAATAACTGCCAAATGTTCTAAAGTAATTGTAAGATGATGACGTTATTTTATGGAAGGGAAAATGCAGAGATATCTTTTAAAATTTCACTTGACATTCATTGCAGATAAGCATATTTCATAGAGTTTGGTACCTGATCTCTTCAAATTAAGTGCCATCAGCTGAAAAGGGTTTTGTCATAATTTGGGAATGTATAGGTATTGGTCAAATACATCATTCTTTTTCTCAGTAGCCTAATTTTGTTTAATTGTAAACATCTTGTTTGTTACTGTGTGTTACAAGGGAACCACATAAAAGTCACTGAAATGTTTGTGTTCAGGTAATACACTTGTTTATGGAATAGACTATAAAATGTATATTTAAGAGAAGTAAATGCTTTTTTTTGTTTTTCTTGAACTGATACTGTTATTTTGTAATTTARTATATTACTCTGTTGCATTTTATCTGTCTTACTGAGATTGTACAGGACAGCTCTATTTGTAACAGTAATCATGGTCCGAAAGGATGTCCAGATGATAGTGGTAGATGTTACAGGAGTAAAAAATGCCTTCCTGAATTGGCACAAAGGAACCATGTAGAGGAAAACTCTTCTGAAGATGATATTTGACAATAAACATGTTCCAGCTCTAAAAATGGTTATTTGTGCTGGGTTTTCCTTTACTTTAGTAAGCAATATGGATGGAAAGAAGGTCGAAGCTGTTTGTTCCTTTTTTGTTTTCTTAGTTAGATTTTCACAATAAATTAAAAACTCTGTGCTTTAACCTTTTAATCAACCTGTGATAGTCAATGTGAGATTCATCTCAAGCCAGAAAATTCGTATTATGCAGGGTTCTACAGAACACTGATTTTAAGGGCAGAGTTTAACTTTTCTATTAATCCAGTGCCACTGTGTAATTAGAATGAACAAGATTAATTGCTTCCAATCATTATCTGCAAAATTATCGGCTGAATACCTGACAAAAAGCCTAGTATTGGAATATTATAAATAGGAAGTTTCCTGTCTAAGCATGCAATACAGTTCTAGAAAGGCTATCATGGCTAAATGCAATTAAGATAACTTAATGTTTATATGGACGAGAGCTGGATAAAATAATTTCAAATCATGACTAATGTTTATTACACTTATTTAGGTATTGATGCTGATATCATAAGCTATTTGACATTTTATGTTGTAAGTTTATATATTTACATGTATTAAAAACATGTAAAGAATCTGCCTGTTTTCAGTAATAAATAATCTTTGTAGTACTTTTTTTATGCATTTCATGTTTCTCAGTACTTGAACATATCTCTTCTGTTTAGTAAAGCAACTTTGACAAGTAATACAGGAAGAATAGCAGTGAGTACTAAGAGTGCTAGGGCTTAGGAATCTTTATAGATTTTCARAAGAATGCTGTATTCCCAAAATTTTCTCTTACCAAATTTTAATTAATAGTTTGCAAATGAACTCTACACAGAATTCAAATTATCTTTCATTAGACCTGACTGATCAACCTTGTCCTTACTTTGGTGGAGACATGAAGTCAGTTTGAAGTTATTGTCATTGAAATGTAAAATATGAACAGAGGACAAAGTGGTAGTTCTTTTATGCTTAAAGGTTGTTCCATGATTGGCCTTTTTGCAGAATCTTTGGCCCCTGATAWATATATTAAAAGCAAACAAATAAAAAGTTTTGGAACAGCTGTAATTTTTCTTTTGATTTATAAGATGTTCTAAGAGAACTAAAGCTGTTTAACAGAACTTAAAGTCATCATAGAAGCTTATTTTGGAAGTAGGTGCTGTGGCATAATGTAATATGGAAGGACTGTTATAAGTAGAAAATCTGACAGCCATTCTGTCCGTAGTATTTGACTACTTCTTTGTATCCCCAAGCCACAAAATTACATTTTATTCARTGTTGGAATTTAAAAGACCCCTTTCCTCTCTTGCTGTTAATTAGTTATTGTGAAAATTGTTGCCCATGGGTCTCAAAGTTCAGAATTTTTTTCTTTGCATTTACTTTTATGGGGAAAATCCACCGACCGTTCCTGCTCCACTGTTTAGAAAGTGCAGTAGGAGCAAGAGAAGGAACTGTGTCCGTATGAACACAGGGTGCCAAAGGCGTCTGAAGGTGCTGGGGACACAGCAGCCTTTGCGAGGAGTGTGCAGTAATGTCAAATAGAGCAGATTAATGGGACAGCAGAATAACTAAATTCCGTAGTGAGCAGTGCTTCAGAGACAGCATTTCACCACAAGCGTCTGTGTAAGTTTGAAGCTCCAACAGAGTAAAATTGTGCTCATGTGCAATACCGTGTTCAGATTTATACCCTGTAAGCCTAAATAACCCTTCAGCCCCAACAGCAAATTTCAGCTCCTGTTCCTACCGATGAAAGGTAGCTTGAAGGGAATATTCTCAAAGGCTAATGTCGTCCTTGGGAGGTTCATCTCAGCAAGCCTTTCTGAACTTAATGCAAACTGAGGCTCCTCCAGAGGGAAATTGAGGGTAGCTGAATGAATCTTCACTTCTCAATTACTCTTCTCTCAGTTGACTCTAGAGCTAGCCTTGAGAAATGAATGTATAGGGGCTAATCTTAGCCTTTGGCAATGACCCAAATAAGCACTTCTCCCYGCTCTGTGTTACATGTTGTAGCATTGCTCTGCCTGCTTGCTGTTTAGCATAGATCCTCCATACATGATACAAAATTTCTAGTATCTTGTTCAAAATTAAAATTTAAATGGAAAACCTGTTTCCATTAAACCAGATTTTCTTCTGTGATAGTCTTAGCTGTAGTTGTTATTTATATATATATATATATATATATATATATCAGAGGGTATGATTGCTCTCCTTTATCTCCTTGAAGAAGTTGAATGTTCCTGGAAAGCAGATGCTAGAAAGTTTGAAATTCATTCACGTAGCCACTAATAGAAAAACCGTGTGCAGTGCATATGCACAGAATCACACAGAATGGTTCAGGTTGGAAGGGTCCTCTAAAGATCATCTAGTCCAACCCCCTGCTCCAGCAGGGACACCCAGAGCACGGGGCACAGGGTGTCCAGGTGGGCACCAGGTGGGATTTGAAGAGCTCYAGAGAAGGAGACTCCACAACCTCCCTGTGCAGCCTGTTCCAGGGCTCTGTCACCCTCACAGAGAAGAAGTCCCTCCTCATAYGGAGATGGAACTTCCTGTGTTTCAGCTTACATCCATTACCCCCTGTCCTGTCACTGGCCACCACTGAGAAGAGTTTGGTCCCTTCCTCCCTACTTTCTCCCCTCAGATATTTACACATATTGATCAGATCCCCTCTCAGTCTTCTCTAGGCTAAACATGCTCTGYTCGCTTAGCCTTTCCTCATATGATAGATGCTCCAGTCCCTTAATCATCTTTGTTGCTCTCTGCTGGACCCTCTCTAGATGTTCCATGTCCCTCTTGTCCTGGGGAGCCCAGAACTGCCCCCARTACTCCAGGTGCRGCCTCACCAGAGCTGAGCAGAGGGGCAGGATCCCCTCCCTTGACCTGCTGGCAACATCCTCCTGATGCAGCCAGGATCCCATTGGCCTTCTTGGCCACGAGGGYACTGCTGMCTCATGGTTAACTTGGTGTCAACCRGGACTCCCAGGTCCCTCTCYGTGGAGCTCCTTTCCAGCAGGTCAACCCTTAATCTGTCCTGGTGCTTGGGGTTATTCCTATAATCAATGAGTTRATATCAATATTCACTCATGTCCGTGATGTTCTGCAAGCATCAGGTATTGTTCTGAGCTGCTGTTCATAGCCAGTTTTCTAAAGCAATTCATTTAGATAGCACACTAGCTTTAGATTACAAAGGGTTACTAGTTTTTACCATAGGCCAAACTTAAAGCTATGCCTTTCTCTTTCTGAGGTTATAGGAGTAGAAATACTTCTGTATTATTTTGAGTTTCTGCAGACCATGAGTATATCTCTTCATGCAAGTAAGTGAACTTTGCAGCTTTAAGTCCTTCCCTGAGGAAACCAGACCTTGATACCTTCACAAATTCATCAGAATATCTGAGCTACTGCRGAACACAGAATGGTAAAATGTGCATGATGCATGGCAGTAAATAAATGGGTACCCTCTGTAAATATGGAGAAGCTATGGAATAGAGAAATAACTCAATGGATATATGGATATGCAGGAACTTCTCACCAAGGTAAGATTGATAGAAGCAGGTTCTTAGGATTTTAACAGACACTGTGCTGACCAGCTTATTTTTATTTTCAGAAATAGCTATTGKAATAAGCTACTTATTTCAGCCATTGTGTCAGTTCTCTGTGCATGCTACTCTAAAAGATGTAGATCTGTTTTCTGAATATGTTTTGTATGGAACTCCAGGTCCAATACATGAAATTCAGATTAACTGCACACAATGTTGTTGGCATTTTTTTTTTCCTAGTAATTTTCCTAGTATTTTTTTTTCCTAGTAATTGTCCTCTRTTTGTCTGAAAAATACATGTTTGCAGTGCAGCAAATAAAGCTCCTGCTCATTTATCAAATTGAGATCAAAGTTGGAGTCATTAAGAACATGTCATATTCTGACACTGTAGATTTGATTGTGTGTCCTGGCACAAAATAATTTGTAAAGGCCTGTTTCAAACTGTAACTCATTGCTAGCCAGCTCTTACAAGCCATTGGAAAATGCAACAAGGTTTCTCACTGTCTTAAGAGAATGATTATTGAGAAATATCAAATTTAGTATGCTACCTACTGTAAACCAAGCAAATAGCCTGCAGGAGGGCTTAAACACAGTTCTTTTACCCACTCAGAAATGTCCACTACTAATTTAGTTTTCAATTTCTCAAAGTTTTTATTGAACAAAACCAAGCAGAAGAGCTAATTTAGAGTCTTGTCAGAAATSTTAACTTTACTGTTACCAACATGCATCCCAAACAGCCTTCCTGCCCGAGATGCATTGGTTCTTCCTGACTGTTCAGAATAATCAGTTATCATCACAGGATTTTTTCTGCAGATGTTATTATATCCATATATAATATGGATATAATTTTATCTGCAGATGTTATTATATCCATATGGCTGCAGGGGTCCCTGAAGGGAAAAAAAGTATTACTTTAAGAGTGTTTTATGGGCTTACAGTGCAAAGAGGGGCATTGAGAAACTGGTGGAAGTTGACCAGGACTAGATAGAAGTTGCAGCAAGGGAAATTCTGATTAATTATAAGAAAGGAGTTATTGACCACGACAGTGCTCAGACCCTGGAACTGGTTGCTAAGAGGGTTTGTGGAGTCTACATTATTTTGTGGTATTAAAACATGATCAGACAAGACTCTGAGCAATTGATGTAACGTTGAGCAGGCATGTCAATCAGAAGACCTCCAAAGGCACTTTCCAACTTAAGCTAGTCCCTGCTTTCTTCTTTCCTTGTGCCCTCTTAGCTTTTTCTTGGTGAATAAAGAGCTACGTCTTGCTTTGCTCTGCTTGCCTGCCCAGGCCAYGGAGACATGGCACAGCCACATCTCTTTCTACTTGACCCTTTTTTTGCCCTCCTCGCATTTGCACGTTCTCAGAATACCTGTGTATTCTGGAGTACCTGTGTATTCAAGGAGCACAATCTCCTACTGTAAGGGAGTGACAATAAAAGTTGGATCAAAAAGAGGGAATAACAATTTTTTTTTCTCTCCTCTACAGTTGATCTGAAATTGTAACAGTTACATAAGTAATTTGGAGACTAATAGTTGACAGGCAATTCAAAAGCATGCACATTCATTATGATGTTAATGGCAGACATTTTGTAAATTATATTTTTAATGCTTAAGTTGGAAACAAGAAGGCAGTGTTGGATGTAGTTAATCAGTAGTTAATGTTTATTGCAGAAACTTTTTAAATTGCATTTTTCTCACTTGGGCGGGGGAGGGAAAGTAAATAGCATTACTATAATAAAATGTTGTCAGAGGATCCATGTTGCTTGAAAAATTAGCATGTTTCAATTCAGTTTTGCATTGACATTCCTAGTTAGCAGCAGTGATTTAGCAGTAGAGACCCATTACATTGTGACAGGACTCTATTCCATTCCTATGAGCTCTTGAGTAGGATACAAATAATACTCACTAACAATAACAGTAACCAGGCATCTTTACCTCCAGCACGCATAGTGAGGGCTGTACAAGCCCTCAATGTC